TTAAATAAAATTTTGAGTTTAAATCTTATAAATAAAGAAATAGGTGTTGGAAGAGTTTTTTTATGAAATTCAATATGATTTCAAATTAATTAAAATTCAATACGATTACCGAATATCGAAAGATTAATAAAAAAAATTAATACATTATTCTCATTTCGTATTTTATTATTTACTATAATTATATTTAATGTGATTACTTGATATCAAAAAATTAATAAAAAAAATTAAAACATCCTTCTCATTCCATACTTTTTAGTCTTTATTTTTAAAAAAATATAATGGAGAGAGAGCTGTTTTAGACATTTTCTTTCCGTACTTTTTAGTCTTTATTTTAAAAAAGTAAAAAAAAAAATAATAATAATAAAGAGAGAGCTGTTTTAAACATTTACTTTCTTTTAGTCATTATCATCACCCTGTTATCGAGCATCTTTCTACGTACTATGAATACATTTACTACAACTTTTAAGAAAGGAAAATCTCCTCAAATATTGCATTGAATCGGAGAAGACTGAAGAGACGAGCCAACCCAACGGGCAGACCCGTGAAGTCTCTTTGGATTCTGCACCTTTTTATTTGGGGAATTTGGATTACTGGACTCCCAATATTTCCTCCATAAATGCTTAATTTTCCCCACATTTAACTCTTAAAAATCCCCTGAAACAACCTTCCACTGCTAGTATTTATTCCCAGTGTAAGCCTGGGTCAGGTCACACAGACAAGCTTCAAAGTAGAAGATGGGCTTGCCCTCATTTTACAAATGGTTGGTCAACAAGTACCCAGATATCCGAGTTAAAGCCATAGTAGAAGATTATGAGCAAAAATTCTTGGATTCAAGCTCTCCAAATCCAAATGGGATTGAGTTTGATAACTTGTTTCTGGACATGAATGGAATCATCCACCCCTGTTTTCACCCTGAAGATCATGTTAGTTCATTACATCGATCATCTTATATTTTATATGTATTGACTCATATCTACTACTTGTTAAGTTTGCCTGTTTCCCTTTTTTAAAATTGTGTCCTCCACAGCCTTCACCGCCAACAACCTATGAAGAGGTCTTTACCATGATTTATAAATACATTGATCATCTTTTCAGCATTGTGAGACCTCGCAAGCTTCTTTACATGGCAATTGGTAA